ATAAGTTAATGATGCGTAAATTAATAATCGAGGCATAAAAAATGTTGTAATAGAGTTTGTAAAAAATGGCGTTATTAGTAAATTAATTAAAAGTTAAATATGTGTGATCAAAATGATGTAATTAAAATGGTTAAAGTAAGTATAGTAAAGTGAAAAAATAAAGTAAAAGAGATCAGAAGTGCTTTTCTCTCAAATAATATACTTTGAATATTATATACTGAGATACTTACCCAATACGTATTGCTTCACCTTTGAGATAGACGTTAGTAGCCGTGACTACTATTAACCCCTACGAAAATAGGGTTTTAGTATATACATATGTTTTTATATTTAGATTAAATATTTATTGTAAATTTTTTATGTGATACTAATTTAACAATTTAACAAAGTTGATTTAATGCTATGAATAATTACAATTATTTAATCAATCTGTGTTTTTTTTTTTAATCTGTATTTTTTGCTTGAAATAATGAGGCTACAAAAAATGCTTATTATATGTGGTATGAGTTTTGGTTAAAATTTGACTTTGATGTATATTTTATAGAGTTAGAACTTCATTAATTAGAGAACTATTTATATTGCTATGCATCTTGATATTTTGAGTTAATTTAAAATCTGCTGAAAATTTTTATGGGTAGTGTAATGTTAGACTTCGTAACAATAGCATTACATATATATACTTCCAAGGAAGAACAGAAGGCAGTAACACAATGGGGCAAAATTTTCTTGGATATTGTTACGAAAGTGGGTACTTCTAGAAAGCATTTGAATGGTATTTAACATCTGCTGAAGATGGTTACCTAGTAGACAATATATTCTTAGTCTTGTTATAAAGAAGATATTAGCACTGCGAAGAATAAAAAGAAAGTATTCGATTTATATTTAAAATCTACTAAACATAGTTCTTCGTGGTGAGAAACTTTAATGTTGGACTCCTACAGTATAATATGGGTATAGGTATTATAGAGGATGAAAGAAAGTATTTGAGTTACTCATATTAAAAAAGTAAAAACTATTTTTAGTTTATTACAGTATTAGAACCGTAATCTGAACTAATATGTATGAACTAAAAATTGAAACTTATTTTGTTGATGACTGATCTATCACTGCATAAAGATAATGTATATTAGTTGAGAATGTAAAACCATTTGAATTATAACCAACCAGATTAATTCAGGTTTATTTAATATATTCTTTAAAAAAGGATCATTCAATTATAAAAAATTTAAGTTTTACTTCTTAATATTGCTGTATATATCAGTATTGTAATGCTAGTATTTCTTTAGCATAAGAATATAAATTTTAAGTTTCAATTCGCCCGAATGTTCCATATCTTAATAATTTTCTATCGTATATTATTCAATAGTATATAATAGCGATGCAGCTATATTACCTGTAGGTATAATTAGATTAATAAGCAAAAGAAACATGTAAATTAATTATAGAATTTCTGCCTTATTAACCATTAAAACTAATTTTGCAGTAATGATAGTTTTCACTTTTAGTCGTTTTAAGAACTGATAAAAAAAAAAATTATATCTTATAATAGTCTAGGTTCTTTGAGGTCAATAATGTAAATATTTACAAGTTTTTTTTTTTATGTATCATTATTTAACAACAAAATACTGACTTTTTAAAAAAACTAATCCAAATTTATAAATCTAAATACATAGTCGATATGATTTTTAAACAAAAATAAGCATGAATCATGTCTTTATCAGTAACATCATGTATAGTAGAAACTTAATATAAAGCTACATTTTTTCACAAAAGCCATGTTCTTAATTATCTTACTTTCACAATATTATCTCGTTACATTCTATATTCATAAATTTTAATAATGCCAAAATCAAAACTCAAAAATGCTGCAAAAAAATGTATACTTACACAAAGTAGAAATAATGATAGAAGATTTTTAGCTACAGATCTAGAATATAACAATCTAGAATATAGTGATCCAGAACTTTTAGTCTATAAATCTGAGAGCAGTAATGAGGAGAAATTTAATAATGGGAGATGAAACTTAGTAAAGAAGAAGCTGAACAGTTAGTTTATAAAAATAGTTTATTTTATAATATTCAATGGGGTAATAAAGCATCTGGTGGTCGGTTACCATATTATTCTGGTGGTTCAAAACATACTTAGCAATGCAAGAATAAAAGATTACAGGAGGTGGCACAAGGATAAATGAGTTTGGACAATTTTTTTAAACCTGTAAAAAAATTAGAAGTTAAATATAAAATGTCAGACTTAGATATAAGCAATTCAGATATAAAAAATAACAGTTCTATTTCAGAAAAAATAAATAAATTAAATAATAATCTCAAAGACATGAAAAATATGAATACTTATAAATATCTCCGTCTTCTTGCTATGCATAAATACCTTGCTGCAATCTTTAATCATAAAGAGTCATATTCTTGTGTAAAACTAAGTCTTGAAATATCACAACAAGTTTTTCAACATGGTTCATAGATAGCACGTCATATCCATGAGTAGACAAAAAGTTGAATTACAACTAAAACTTTACTAGTCTCTAAGCAAGGACAACGAAAATACATACCAATTCTTATTAATGATGAGGATGTACAAAGTTCTTGCTTGCATTTTATCTATACTATGGGTGAAAGAATAATTGCTGAAAAATTTCAGAATTATGTTCAGAACAATGTTTTACCACATGTTACTAGTTCTCGTACTTTAATTTCATTAGAGGCAGCTTGAACTTGGCTTCATCATCTTGGCCTTGTATATCAACAGCATTAATAAGGTATTTACTACGATGAGCATGAACATCCTGATATTGTACAATATCATGCAATATTTCTTGAAAAAATGAAAGATCTTGAAACTTTAATGCCACAATTTGTTGGTAAAAATATAGAAATAATTATTAATCCTGAAATAAGTGAAGAAAAACAAATACATATTCTTGTTACTCATGATAAGTGTACATTCTATACGAATGTTAGTCATCCTTTGGTGTGGGCTCCTCTTGGTATGCTGCCACTATACAAAAAAGGAAAGGATAAAGCACTTATGATTTCAGAGTTTTTAACTAAGACTTATAGTTGCTTTACAATTACTTCTGCAGAAATAAATGAATTAAACCTATTACCAATATTTCCACAAGAAGCTCATGTTATTATCAAACCTAGAAAAAATGATGATGGCTAGTAGAATGCTTCTAACTTGCTTATACAAGTAGCCAATAAAGCAATTCCTATTTTCGAAGCAACTCACCCAAACTGTATTGCTGTCTTTGTATTTGATAACAGACCAATCATAGTGCTTTTGCAAGTGATGCGTTATATACTAAAAACATGAATTTTTATTTTGATAGTAAATAGTCAAGATTATGTGACAGTTGGTTTATTAATGAACAAGGTAAACAAATTACTCAGCCAATAATCTTTCTTGAAGATCTTCCTCCTGATGATTCTAATTATATCTTTCATGGTCAACCAAAGGGTATTCAACAAGTACTTCACGAGTATAACTTATAGCTTACTAGTAGTCTAAAATTAAAGTATAGAAATAACTATTATGATCCAAGTGCATCTAATTGTTGTGTGCATCATTTTTTGTCTACATAGCCTGATTTTATTATGCAAAAATTAGCATTAGAGGAACTTATTATTGAACGAGATCATGTTTGTGTATTTTATCCTAAGTATTACTGTGAGTTAAATTTTATTGAACGATACTAGAGTGCTATAAAACGTTATTCATGTGAGCATTGTGATTATTCATAGTCTGAATTACAAGTTACTATATCTAAAGCACTTAATTCAGTATCACTTACAACTATACGTCATTTTGCACAAAAGGCATGGCATTATATGGATGCTTATAGACATGGACTTACTGGCCGGGTAGCAGAATATGCTATACATAAGTATCATTCTCATAGACATATACCTAATGAAATTGATTTAGAGTTAGATTAATAAATACTAATAGTGTAAAATTAAGAATAGGAATTATATACTTATTATTTGCTTCATATAAGTTTAAATAAGTAACACAAAAAAAAAAATCTACACTTTTGTTATATTGTATTTAGCTTGTAAAAAGTAAATTGTTAAGAAGAGGTATGATATATAAAACAAAACACATTATATATGTTGGTATATGTTATCTAGGTTTCCTAGGTCTATTATAGTGTTGGGATGGTTATAATTATTTAGTAAGAACTCTGCTGTGTTTAATTTAAAATTACACTTTTAAAAATAGATAGATTTGAAATAACATCAATGCGCACTTCATATAATATTTGATGGATTTGTCAGATTAAAAAAATTGCTGTATATAAATTTTTCAAAGCTAAAATCTATTTCTAAATTATACTAACTGCTGATTCTAATCTTCTAAAGTAATAAAAGTAATAATATATTAAAATAATATAGTGTGATCTAAATAATGCATGAACGATCAAAATAATGTGATATACTATCCACGAAAACTTGTTTATGCGATCGACTGTATTTTATAAAAATATATTTATTTATATAGGCTAGGTGCTGAGAAAAGGGATGAAATTAATAATTACACAAAGTATTGTATTAATAAAATTTTGCAATATAGCTTCTTAAAATTTGTATTTTATTTTCTTATAATTTATTATAAGATTTACAACACA